TCAAATGGTGCGGTAAAACTGCGAGTAGAAATCTGCAAAAACGTTTGCAATGACCCCCCTGCCTGAGTGCGCGTTGCCATCCGCGCCGCGCATTTCTGCGATGGGCGCATCCCCGTCTCGATTTGATCGCAGCGGTTAATTTGAGACCGCGGCGCGCGTCCAATAATTTACAAATCTATGCTCGTCTTGAAGTCCGTTTGCTCTGTCGACCCTCTTGGCGGGTTTGCCTGCCGATGCGCTCACTCCCTTTTTTTTCTCTCTCTCCCTCTCTCTCTTTCTCTCGTGTTTTGGTTGGCTGTGCTCTGTCATGGCTAGATGGGTTCTCGCAGGCGCGTCTGGGACGGGCGGTAAGGGCACGGTTGGTCGGGCGCTTTCCTGCTCGAAGATGCTGCTTCCACTTGTGTTTTGTAGTGCGTGCTCGTTGAATTCCCCGAGGTGTAAAGGCAAATCTGCAATCGTGAGTTTGTCCGTAACTGTCGTCGTGTGCGCGCCGGCTTCGCGGTCCATCAACCAGGAAACGTGCTTCGTGGTGCTCTCGAATGTCGCTGATTCCGTCGGCTGCTGGTTGGATGTCGCGGCAAACAAAACTGCGCGATTGCAACTTTGTGGTCCGACATCAAATCCAATGCTTTAGTTGCCTTTGCGTTGCGGCAGCACCAGAACCAGCGCCTGGAGGTCAAAATGAAGCCCATTGGCTTCTCATTGTCGTTGTTGCGAGTGCACGTTGCCAGCTGCGCAGTCTGCTTGCGGACGAATGCATCGACAACAATCCGACTCTTTTGGGGCGGCCACGCGCGTAGCCAGTCCTCTCTCCAGTCGCACTGCCCGCGCGGCTGATTACCGACATGCCTGAAGTCGACCATCTGCTTATCTTCGTGCTTGTCGTCATCGTCGGCGTTTGTCAGCCAGTTTCCTTCTAGGTGCCCAACTCGTGCCTTGACATCGCATGTCAAGACCGTGCTGTACTTCTGACTGCATGCTTCGGCGTGTAGTGCAGATATCAGTGTGCACATACTCTGCACTTGGTAATCGGAGTGCCCCGCATGCTGGAAATACGCGGCAATCAGGATCAGCTTGACAGAACCTCGTCGCATGCGTAGCGCTGCTAACCTGTGGCTGATTGTTTGAAATTGATGTGTGTGTGTGTGTGTGTTCCTTCGCCGTCTATGCGCAAACATCCCAACTCCGTGGGATGGTCGTGCCATCCGTGGCCCCCCGCTGTCCTCCAAGTTTCGCTGGGCAAAATCATATCCCAATGGGCCGTTCGCAACTCGATGGTGGCCTCATCTATGCGGTCGTCGCTCAATGACCGTGCGTTCTTGTGCATGATCGTAAGAAAGCAGCCAGTGTCTTGAGATGCTGTTTGGCGGTATGTGTTCTAATCGTCTGTGACTGCTGCGTCGCGACGGCGCTGCGTGCGCCGCAGATGCTGTAGAGTGCTTGCGGGCAAGGCGCCACCCATCTCATAATGTCGTGCTTTTTCCCCGCCAACAATGCATTGCGGAGCTATGCGGAGTATTCCCGGTGCTGCTAGATCGACGGGTGGCGGAATCTACTCTGACTTAGCTCTGTGGTTGAGTAGGTCACGTGGTAGGACGCGCGAGGTCAGAGCCAGGGAGATGCAAAGGTGAGCGCTGGGAGTCGGAGGCCGGAGGTTGGAAGTCGGTCAGTCGGTCATGCGCGGCTGGGGGTCGATAGGCGGAGGTCGAAAGTTGGAGCTAGAAAGTTGAAGGTCGAAGAGTGGTGGGCGCTGGGAGTCGGAAGCTGGAAGCTGGATGTTGGTCAGTTGAGGTTGAAGGTCGATAGGTGGAGGTCGACAGGTGGAGGTGGAAGATTGGAGGTCGACAGCGGTCGGTGGATCGTGGCAGTCGAAATCTGGAAGCTGGAAGTCGATAGGGCGACGTTGAAAATTGACTGGGGGAGGTTGAAAGCTGGAGGTGCAACGTCGGATGTCGAAAGCCAGCGGGGGATGGTGGGCGCCTGCCGCTGGAAGCTGGAGGTCGGTCAGCGTTGAAGTTGGAGGTGAATAGGTCGAGGTCGCACGTTGGAAATGCAAGATTGGAAGCCACAAACTGGCGGTGGACGTTGGGATTCGGAATCTGGATGCTGGATGTCGACTGGTTCAGGTTGGGAGTCGATTGCAGGAAGTTAAAAGTTGGGGGTGGGAAGTCGGAGGTCGGTCAGTTGAGGTTGAAGGTCGATCGCTGGAGGTCGAACACTGGAGGTAGACGATTGGAGGTCGACAGCTGGCGGTCGATGCTGACAATTGGAATTTGTAAGCTGGGAGTCGAGTGGGTGAAATTGACAATCGATTTGGAGAGGTCGAAAGATCGAATGTCGAAAGCCCGCGGTGGATGTTGAAGCCGGGGGCTGGAAGCTGGATGTGGGTCAGTTCTGGTTGGAGGTCGATCAGTGGAGGTCGAACATGTGACGTGGGATATTGGAAATCGTTAACTGGCGGTGGACGTTGAGGGTCGGAGTCTGGGCGCTGGAGGTCGAGTGGTCGAAGTTCGGAGTCGATAGGTGGAGTTTGGAAGCTGGAGGTGGAAGGTTGGAGGTCGCAGGTGAGGTCGCGAGCTGGAGGTTGAGGTCGAGAGCTGTGGGGTGGGAACTGTGGATGTGGAACTGGAGTTGGAAAGGCAATGCTATGCGTCCCGATCGCCTGCGAAACATGCTGCGACGTCGTTCTGTCCAACATTGCTGAAGCATGCTGTGTCGGAACCAAATCCAACTGACATCGGATGTCCCGTGCCGCTGCGGAAATATGCGTAATGGCACGTTGCCGGACACGCTGCTGTATGCCCGTCGTCCTCCCTCTCCTCCTTGCACTCTACAGTGGCGTAGAACGTGAAACCGAGAAACATGATCACCACTGCCCGAATCTCTCGGGTCGCAAAGTTGGAGGCCCGAGGCGTCGATGGGGGCGGGGGCCAGACTCGGAGCGTATAATACCGCGTGACACTTGTAGTGATGAAGCGCATCACGCGTGAAGCACGTCACGATCTTGCTGATGCGGCCCTGGAACTCTAGGAGTCGCATGCCGCGCCCTACCTTAGAGGATAGAGAGAAAAAGGGCGGAGGATGGAGGAGGAGAACAAGACAAGACAATTGCACTTGCGATCCAGTCTAAATCTACCCGTGCAGCTAAAGCTGCGACTGGCCTTGCAACATGCAACAGGATGATGAGGAGCAGCAGCAGCAGCACCAGCATCTAGGGGGAGATGAGGAAGGAGGATGAAGATTGAGTTCCGGAAATGGAGGGTAAAAAAAAAAATGTACTTCTTCAGACCTCCCAGAGTCTCTGGAGGCCGCTTTCTGTGTCGCTTTGGGTTCCGCCAAAGATCATCCGACGACGCCCCAGGACGCAAAAAACGGGAAAAAGGGCAACGCAAGGTGAAACAACCGAGGGCACAATGAGACAACCACGCGTGGCCCATTTTTGTCCCGGTCGCGTGCGCAACTGATGAATCAGAGATGCCTACACGCAATCGTCAACCAACTCTGTCATCATCCTCCACAGTCGTCGCCTACGATTGGTGATATCTTCGGGGTTCGCGCCCAGGGGTCGAGGGGTAGGAGGAAAGACTCCGCCCCGAGGCTTCGGACCAAATATTTCACGGCGGATTGTTTCGAAAACCCTGGCTTCCGAAGGCCGCTCTTGGGCCGCCAGGACTATCACAGAACGGCCGACGACCGAAAATTGGTCCAGGGATGGGATCGGGAGCCCCGGGGTCCCACCCATGGGAGAAAGAAAACACAACGTCGGAGGTCTTGGCGGACAATGTTGAAGAAGAAGAAGAAGAAGAAAAATAATAAGAAGAACAAGAGAAGACGATGAGGAAAAGAGGAAGAAGGCAACCCAACTTCTCCGACTCGCAATTCTTCGTGCGGTGAACGTAGAGATATGTATGCTTGTCAGCGTTCCTGTGAAGGCGAGGTGCCAAATTCTGGCGGGACGCCAAGCCGCTTCCAATGCTAACTGGAGAAAATGCAACATGGCTGCGCTCAAATAGTACTGATCGGAGCTGTCACGCTTTCCTTCCGCGAGAGGAACCATTTTCCTCTTGAGTCCCCGATGCCCGTGTCTCCACTCCGGGAGGTACACCCCGTCCCCCGTAACATCATAACATTAGTTTGCAGATTCAAATTTCAGTGGGTCCCGTTTCGTTCAAGTCCAGGATGATATATGCTATGCTCCGCTCATTCCAGGAAGCAGGATCCATGACCCTGGTTACACTGGAATTGGGGTCGTCGAGGGTTAAGGAGGTAAGGATGGGGAGAAAGAGCCGATGATGCGGGGCAGGAAAGCGCGTGGGCGAGAACATAGCGCAGCCCCCACAATCCCACAGACAACCCAGATTCTGTGACTGCGAAATGCCGCCTCCTTCCTTGCCTTGCCCGTCGGAGTTGGAGCCCGGTGCCTCTGTTTTTTGGCAAGCACTGTGCCAAGGCACTTTCTAAACAATCGGCAGGCCCTTCCTTGATGTCGGCATGCTCTTCCTCGCTTCCGCTGGCTTTGACTGTATCATTGGCTCGGCAACTTCCCATAAAGTACACCGGCCATCACCTACAAACCAACTCACCGACAATGAGGACGGCATGTCCGGGGGCTAGCTGGGGCTGCCACATGCGATGTCAAAACAATGCTCTCGAACATGTCACGTCATCCTTAACTGGCAACCAGTCTAGCTATGTTCCTTGGGCCAAAATTCTGGATCCGCCTACAGAAACACCCACCAACACCGACCACAACTCTGCGTCGTTTCTTGTCAAAGGAAAAAAGGTAAGGACGATACTACGCACGCCGCTTTTTTCGACGCTACCGCTGACATTTCTGAGTGAGCCAGCCGATCGTCCTCTGCTAGCTCTTGGGACGCGGACGCTGATGTTTGGCCCCATGGTCGTCAACCGATCTTCTCATTCCCTGTCTCAAGTATTATCTGCGACGGTGGTTACCCAATGCGGGCTCTACAACTACTTCTCCTTCTGCCCACCGTCACCTCGATGATCTCGTCTCCATACAGAACGGCCTCCTCGTTCTCCGCGCAAGTGGCCGCCGAGAAGCCTGCCAAGCAATTTTCGGTAGGGAGGGGGGATGATTTCCTGAAGGGCATTTCCAAGCAGAATGCGCACAACTCTAACACTCTCATGATAACCCTCAATACCACGCAAACGGTATATGATCCGCCGGCCCCCTTGTGGGGCCACCAGGCTGTAGGCCGGAGGTTCGCAGTTTCCTGTGTCAGTTGCAGCTTCCAGTTTCCACTGTGACAGTTCTGCTTCTTGCTGCTTACTGTTCCTTGTTGACTTCTTGCTGCTTACTGTTCCTTGTTGATGGACCGCGCGAGGGGGGGAGAACCAAAACTGACATTTTTACAACGGAGAAATCGTATTGTCTGAATTCCTGGGGCGGGTAAAAACTAACACCCCTCACGCAGATCGGCGGGGTCAGGGTCCAAAAACACGAAGCATTTGCCACATTTCTGAAACTCAGTGGCACCCATCACGCAGATCGGCAGGGTAAGGGTCCAAAAACGCAACGCATTTGCCACATTTCTGAAGCTCGGTGGCACCCCTCACGCAGATCGGCGGGGTCAGGGTCAAAAACCACAAAAGATTCCCCACATTTCTAAAATTCGGTGCCACCCCTCACGCAGATCGGCGGGGTCAGGGTCTAAAAAAACACAGATTTGCCACATTCTCTAAAATTCGGTGGCGCCTCTCACGCAGATCGGCAGGGTCAGGGTCAAAAAACACAAAGCATTTGCCAATTTCTGAAACTCGATGGCACCCATCATGCAGATCGGCAGGGTAAGGGTCCAAAAACGCAAGGGATTTGCAACATTGTTGACATTCGGCGGCGCCCTTCAGGCAGATCGGCGGGGTCAGCGTGCAAAAACACAAGGGATTTGCAACATTTCTGAAATCCGGCGGCACCCCTCACGCAGATCGGCGGGGTCAGGGTCCAAAAACAAAAAAGATGTGCCACATTCCTGAAATTCGGTGGCACCCATCACGCAGATCGGCAGGGTCAGGGTTCAAAAACACTAAGGAATTGCCACATGTTTGAAATTCGGTGGCAACCCTCACACAGATCGGCAGGGTCAGGGTCCAAAAACACAGAGGATTCGCCACATTTATGAAATTCGGCGGCACCCCTCATGCAGATCCGTAGGGTCAAGGTCCAAAAACATTTGGGGTTTGCCACATTGCTGAAATGCACACAACAGCGAGTACAACAATAGACTCGGAATCTCCATTCGTCTTGCCAATTACCCATCGTCTTCGCATGAAGTTCCGACGCTGCTTCACGGTGAAGCCAAAGCCTCATGCCTTCGCTCTTCGCTCTTCCATGGCCCATTATCCGAGAGAGGGGGCCGGTGGCAGGGGGCGAAGCCCTTACGGACAATAACTGCACGTCTTCAACATTACCAATACCCACCCGACATGCGTTTCCGTATCTGTAAGCCCCAACCGCTGCAATTTGTTGTAGCCGCAACGGGTCATGGAGATCGGGGGCGACGGTTTGCCGCTCACCTCAGGACGGCAATGCGCCTGGTCAGATCCAGTGTACAGCCAAGAAACGATCCCTATGCACAGCTCCGCCCCATCTGGGCCCGCCCTCTCCAGGCCCGCCTGCCCCGCAGCCCTGGCCCCTTCAGCGGCGAATCGCGGCAGCCGATCTTGCCTACCCGCTGGTGCAAAGCTGCAAAACCCCGTCCTGCTGTGCTTGCGTCGCTGATGGTGCGGACAAGCAGCACGTCGCCGTGCTCCTCGCTTTCCGAGCACACTCCCCTCTTTGCTGCCGCCCCCTCCTCTGGCAGGAGGCAAGACATATCGGTACGATGTCGAACATCACATGCCGTCGAACACCGACAGCGGCCGCTGTTAGGCAAACGACTTTCTGTCTCAAACGGACACCGCCCGCGGCGACGCCGACCGCGAATCCTGTACAACATGGGCAAGAACTGCTGTCGGTCTTCGTCACCATTTCTTCCGTACCCTCTTCGATCGCACATCTGCGAGGCCTAGAGAGATGGGGCCAGCGAGGCATCTGACTGAGACGTCGGAGCACGCTGCCGCGGCGGCATGGCCGAGCACGCCTATCCGCTGGGACCTCGGCCAGCTGCGGCGCTGCTGCGGCCGCGACCGCGGCAGTGCCGCCGACGCAGGGGCGCAAGGCAGCCCCCCCGCCCCCGAAAGCATAGGCCGTCGAGGCGCAGACCCCCCGCAAGAAGTGTCGAGAGGCCGGGCGCGCTGCCGCTTGGGGCCTTCTGCAAGAGATCGGCCGACGTGCCCGGCAAGCCCGGGATCTCAACGGACAGTGACGGCGACAGCGAGGGCCGACAGGGCGCAGTGCCTAGGACGGGGTGGTCGGCTTGAGGGGCGCGGCCACGGGCCTCCAGCGCACGCTTCCCCCATTGCCGACAACAACCCGCCACACTGCTTGACGTTGCGCCAGCGGCCTGCCTGAAGCTCGGTGCACCGTACATCGCAGTGCAGCGCTTCATGGCGACCCAAGGCAACGTGCACGCTTAGAGCTGGGGTGCGGCTTCTGACGGGCAACCTGCCATCGCTTCAGGCCAGCCTACGCATATGGCGCGCGTTACGTTGGAGTTGTCTCACGCAACCTTCTGCTTCTCGAACTCTATGGGGCCACTGGGAAACCCTTGGGATGCGCAACCCAACAAATACGAATACGACAACCAAGAACTGATACGCTGTCCCGTCCAAGCCCCCGCCATCCTCACACAGCGGACGACGGACCTGGAACCGCGAAACATTGGCCGAGTCCAACACGCGTCAACTTCTTGCTCTAAATCTCTGCGCGCCTTCCGCTCCTCCCTCTCCCGTCTTCCTCCTTCCCCGCCCCACTTCCCCCCTTCTCCCCGTTCCGTTCCTTCCTCTGTTCCCCCTCCCTCTCTGCTCCCCTCCTCTTTCCCCTCGCCTCCCTCCTCTCTCCAAGAAAAGGATGACGAGGATGGGGGCCCTCCGAAACCGACTTCGTCGGGCCGCGGGTCCATAGAACTCTGGAATCCTTCCCCAAGGTCGGTCTTCCATCCACGGAAATTCCTTGCGCTCTCCAAGCCTGGAGATGACCACCAGACGGCCAGCAAGTGGACGCCCCTCCAGCGCGATGTTTTAGGTCGCCAGGGCTTTGGGCGCTCCTCCTCAAAATTGAGCCCTGGGCCCCTCCAAGAGTGAGTCCTGGCCAGAGAGCGACGGAGAGGGCAACGAAGAGGAGGCCCAAAAGGGGCGAAGAGCTTTCCAGCCCTAGCCGTCGACGTTGTTCGGCGGCGCGCTCGGGCCTTCTCCGACGGCTTAGAAGGTCTCCGGCCATCTGAGAAGCTTCCCGAGCTTCTCCGGAGCCGCAGGGGGCTTCCCAGAAGGCTGGAGGACTTCTGAGAAGCCCTGCGGCCTTCTGAGAAGACCTGCCTTCTGTCACTTCCCCTTTTTCGCGGATGGACAGAGCCCCCTTTAGTCAAATGTGGTTCAGTGAAAACCTCGGGCCCAAACCTGGCGGGCGCAGGCCTGGAAAACGACGGCCGCGGCGCCTTCTCGAGAACCGAGGACGAACCATTCACTAATCGACGTGTCAAGGTGGGGGTTCGTCGTCGAAAAGCGGCGACGAACCCCCACCCTGGCGTCGTCGAAAAGCGGCGACGACGCGGCCTGGCGGGTCCTCGTCGCCCAGGCCGCTCGGCTTCCCCGCGCTGGGCGCCTCGCTCTCCACGAGGCACGCGGACCAGGACAGCATGGCAGGCCCGGAGGCGGACGGGCGGCGTGGCTCCCGCTGCCCCGTCCTGCACCTAATCCTCCTCCTCCTCCTCCTCCTCCTCCTCCTCCTCGAGGAGGAGGAGGAGGAGGGGGGGCGGGAGGAGGAAGGATGAGCAAGAGGGGGGAGAGGCGGAGAAGGAGGAGGCGGAGGAGGAGGAGGAGGAGGAGCAGGAGGAGGAGCAGGAGGAGCAGAAGGAGGAGGAGCAGGAGGAGGAGGAGCAGGAGGAGGAGCAGGAGGAGGAGCAGGAGGAGGAAGAGGATGAAGAGGAGGAGGAGCAGGAGGAGGAGGAGCAGGAGGAGGAGCAGCAGGAGGAGGAGGAGGAGGAGGAGGAGGAGGAGGAGCCGGTGGTTCGAGGAGGGGGCGGGGAAGGAGAGAGGAGGAGAGGGCGAGGGCCTGGAGGGGGCCGCTAGGGCCTGGAAGGTGGGTGGGGGTGGGTTGTCTTCGAGCACGGTTTCCGACATTTGAACGTTTTTTGTATTCGGCGTTTGAACGCTGGGCGGAAGGGGGGGGGACGGGGGGGGTCTGGCTCCAGACCTCTGCTTAATGCGAGTGTTTGCAAAAAAGGCGTCCATTATGGGGGAGAACCCACTGGCTCGACTCGAAACCAGCACCCAAAACAGCCTAGATCTACTCCGCAGGGGGGGGGGGCGCGAGGGCCCGCGCCGATCGGCAAAAGAATGCATGAAAAACGTTCACCCTTCGACATTTCGGGCGGTGTTTGGGGGGGTGGGGATCGGGCAAGCTCTGGGGGATTCCGGGGGAAGTGCTGCGAGGCGGAGAGCGGGGGGAAAGGAGGGGGAGGGGTTTCGAGCGGAGCGTGTCAGGGGGGGGTCTGCGGGATTCTTTGGCTGTAGGGGGGACGACGGGGACGGGGAGCTTGAAGGATGTTAACTTGACTTGACTTGAGGTAAGGAGGATATGGAGGAAAATGGCAAGGAGGAGGGAGGAAGAGGACAATCACAGATCCAACGTGCATCAATGATGCTATGAACCCTCCCATCTCAAGTCCCCGTCCCCCGTCATACATCCACACAACAGTCCCGCTGCACTAATTGCTGGAAGCACCCCCTTGACATACGAGTGCGCCATGAGCCTATCATGGAGGAGAAAACCCCGTTATGAACATGAGCCGCCTTCCATCCTTTTGCCTTCTACCTATGAAGGGGTACCAGGATGTAGGATCAGAAGGTGCAACTCACAATCCAACGAGAACCCCATTTTTGAACAGAGATGCCGTCTATCCATGTAGCTTTAACCACAATTTCGACGTCTGCCAATGCTTACGAAGACATCTCACACGAGAGCCGCACATCCAAGCAACCACCCTTCATCCTTGCATCTCCTATGCATTATGAACTTGTGGAGTTATGCTTTCGATGCTTTGCGAAATGCGTGGCACCATCGACACCCACATTTTGAAATCGACCTGCCCCCATCTGCATACCTGCTGAAAACCGTTAACACACGCATATGCACAGAATTATGTTGGCATGGACATTTAGAAGCCCACCCGACCTTCATCAAGACGAACACGCTTAAGACGCCCGAGCGTGGCGCTGAAGCCAGAACCACATCTTGAAAACTATCGCCCTTTGCCTGTATAACTGTTCGGACTCTAACTTCGACATCATCGGCGGTAAAGAAATCTCAGGATAACCGGCTGGCCCGCGCTACCGAGACGTCTGGTGGTGCAACGAGGAGGAGGTGGAGGATGGTATTCGCATGACTCGGAATTTTATCAAACTCGGGGGAAGGAGAGGCGGGTTCTGAGGTTCAGGGAGGGAGGAGGAGGAGGAGGAAAAGGAGGAGGAGGAGGAGCAGGATCGGGAGGAGGAGGAGGAGGAGGAGGAGGAGGAGGAGGGGAGGAGGAGGAGGAGGAGGAGGAGGAGGAGGGGAGGAGGGGAGGAGGAGGAGAGGAGGAGGAGGAGGAGGAGGAGGAGGAGGAGCAGGAGGAGGAGGAGGAGGAGGAGGGGAGGAGGAGGAAGTAAGGTACCCTAAAAGGAGGAGGATGAGGAGGAGAAGGAGGAGGAGGAGCAGGAGGAGGAGGAGGAGGAGGGGGGAGAAAGGAGGAGGAGACGCAGGATAGAGGATCGAGGAGGAGGAGAAGGAGGAGGAGGAAGAGGAGGAGGAGGAGGAGGAGGAGGAGGAGCAAGAAGCCCACGCCCCGCGGCCAAGAATGCTGCCCTCGCAACCGACGAGACGCCCGGGCGGTCAGGGCGCAAGACCTCCCTCCCCACCTCGTCAGCCAGCCTGGTTACCCCGTGACGCCTGTACAATCGAGGCTGGTTGGAGGGGACACGCGAGAAGAAACTTCCGAAGGCCACGCTGCTGCCATAGGAATGTGCAAGGCCGTGGGTCGCGGCATACAGGACACGGGGGCACCCGCGATTTGGCAGGGCCGACCTGCACCAACCAGAAATCCAGAGAGAACGCATCAACGTTCATGGACTCTGGATTTCGTTTCAAGGAAACCAAGGCTCTGGACCAGAGTCTGGGCGTCGAGCTTTCGTATATCTGGGCCTGGACTACTGTTTCAGAAGCCTCGAATGAAGTCGACTCTTTAGCTTCGAATTTTCTCAACTCCATGCTGGGGTGTAATTACTGCCCCGAATCTATATCAGGCTATCTGGGCACGGGGGGTCGACGCTTCGCACTCCAGCCCCAGCTCCTCGCGTCGGACTTCTGCGCCCACCCGCCCTGCTCTGGCGGCGGTTGCCGCGGCGTGGACGCTCCGTCGTTGCGGTGGCTGCAGGCGGCGCGGAGAAATGTCCCAGCCACTCGACTTAAAACGCCTTCGGGCGAGAAATAATGCAGAATCTGCCTCTCGGCTGAAATAGCTCCGTTCCACGCTCCATTCCTTTCACTCGATGTCAGTCCATTCCTCTCACTCGATGTCACTGAAACAGCCGCGGACGCATCGGCGTGCGGCCTGCATGAGCGGGAGGGGGAATTACACGGCCGTGGCCCAGTCGCTCGCGTTTGAACAAGCGTCAGATCCCGACACCGCTGCGCCGTTACCGAAAGGGCCTCTGGAGGCCATCCACGAAGGGCCCGAAACCGAACAGAACAAAATATGCTCAAAACGCGCCACATGGGTCCGAGAGCTCCGAAGAGCTCGGAAGTGTCTTAGAATCTTAGAAGCGATGAGAATGCTCCCAAGGAGGTCGCTAGAAGAGGTCTGAACAAATCCGAGAGCGGCCCAAAACAATTAGGAAGCTTGAGGCGTGTGTCCCAGAGGCTCTGAGGGAGCACCGGCGACCCTGCGAGACCCTTTGTACCGAACGCAATTTGGAACAACTGGCGCTCCCTGTTATCCATATCGAAACCATGAGTGCGTCCATGCGCCATGTTCGACTTTATTCGCATTGCGCGTAGGTCGCCCGTGCGTGAGATCGCGTCGCTGACGAGATTACCCAATCGAGCCCTGCCTCGATGGCCAACACCTCAGCCTGAACTGCGCACGCACCTGTTCCACCAAGTAGCTTGCTTTTCAGAGCGTCTAACCAAGGAAAACTGCCAAGACAAAAAGATGCGTCGTACGCCCTCGCATTACGCTGTATATCAAGGGTCCTGGTGCCCTCTGACCGCGTATTTCGACCGTCCAGCGCGGCGTTCACAGAGTGTTCAGCTGAGAATTCCTGGTCATGAGGCGCTTATATAATGTACACAGAGACGGAACTCCACGCGCAAGCAACAATTCGGGCTTGCTGCGCCCTATTTCGCAAACAAGACCGTGCGCTGACGAGATCATTCCAACCTGTCCCACCAAAGCCGCTGTTGAAGGTCAGCAGTTCAGTTGCACCCAAAGCCGTCGGCCTCGACTGCCCTGCGCCTCGCCCAATGCTTGTCTATGAGCCAGGCTCTCTTAACTTTAGATCAGATCCTTTGCATACTTATCGCGTGACCAATTCTTACACCAACGAGGTGTTATTACATTACACCCTTGGATGCGTCATACTCTTCGCAATCCATTAAGATGCTACGTAGAACACTATATATACTACGAGGGAGAGTGAAGAATAATACGGAGAATACCCTAAATAATACCGAAAGGGGAACTGAACGTAAACCAGACGGGAGAACTTACAGAGCGCCATGCGGGGGAAACTATCCGAAACGACACACGACATACCATGTACCATATCATACGGGAGACCATCCTGGAGACCACCCTGGATACCACCTGGGAGACCACACGGGAGACCATGCAGGAGACCCTGCGGGAGACCGTACAGGGTATCGGACGACAGCCATACAGGAGACCAGACGGGAAGCCATAAAGGCAACAATGCGGGAGACCCTATGGGACACCATGCAAGAGACCACGAGCCGCCGATTCCATATTCAGAGGGTATCACCCCTTGCCATCGTCTAGGACCATGAATGTAGACACATGCGTAGTTACATGACGTTTGCAAGCATGCTGTCCAAATAATGACCAGCCTTTTATCCCGTGGGAAATGCTGAACATCCATGTCTGACCTACTTGAGACAGTCACCTTCGCATCGTACCTGGCACAATCTGCAAGACAGCTGAGCGGATGGTCGATGGTGGTACTTGCGCGACCGTTGTTTTTCGGCCGAAGCTATCTCCTCCCTCATATCTTGCTGGGGTCAGAAGGGGAGGAACACCATGAAGTGAACGCAAGAAATCAATACCAGCCTTGCAGGGTGCTGCTAGCATGAAGACTGGAAAACCACTGGAAACTGCTGGCGGAAGAGTCTCTACCCAAACACGCGCGGCCGATGACCTCGCCCTCCTTCTTGGTGCCTCTGCTGCTGTGAGGCTTTCGTCATTTCCCTTACTCGGCCGCCACCGCCGTCCAACCAACGACCTCTAACGTCCCCTCCTGCTCTCTGGCTCGGGGGGGAAGCAGCGACCTGGAATCGGCGATGCATCGCCGATAGATCTGCGATAGGCTCCCGATAGCACATTCGCACGTTCCTGGGCGGGTGTGGGCCTGTGGGGCCGGCCCCGTCGGCGATGAATGGGCGATTAGGGGTAGATGCGCTCCCTCCTGCACCTTTCCCCCCCCCGAACGCTGCCCCCGATAGCATCCCCTCCCTGGCCCTCCTCCCTCCTCTAGGCCTCCCAGGACTGCGCGCGGGAGGGCGGAGGGAGGGGGGGACGCGGGCGAGCGCGAGGAGGAGAGAAGCGCCCTCGCCGCTTACGTCGCGCGGCCCTCGAACTCGTTCATGCCCAGGAACTCGTCCATGGCGGCCTTGAGCCCGGACTCCACCTCGAGGGGGGGGGGCATCTCCTTCGCCTCCAGGGGCTGCGACCTCGCCGCTCAAGACAAAGCGCTCTTTCCTGACGCTCTGGGCATCACCCCGAGGGGGCGAGGGAGGGAAGGGGGCGAGGGGGGAAGGGAGGGCGAGGGAGGGAGGGAGGGAGGGAAGGGGGGCGAGGGAGGGAAGGGGGGCTTGGGACACCTCCAGGGGGGCGTGGGAAGGAAAGGGGGGGGGGGCGGGACGGAGGAGCACGGAGGGAGGGCGGGAGTAGAAAGACGGAGGGCAGGATGGGGTGGACGAGTACGGGGAGGGCTTGCGCATAAGGCTCTACAGTCAACCCGTATAGTGAGGATGCGCGTTAAGGATGCAAGGGCCTTGGGCGCCCATCTCGACGCTTTTCGAGCGGGGCGCGGCCAACGAAAGTGGCCAAGGATGGACCGAGGAGGCAAGGATGCACAGGGTACCCTTTAGAAGGCTGCCCATCCTTATTATATGGTTGACTGTGTGTAGTCTGTGAGATGCTGGGCACTTCATTTAAGGGAGGAGGAGGAGGAGGAGGAGGGGGCTGAGCAGGAGCGATGAAAGAGACAGAGGGAACATGAAGAGGGAAAGAAGGAAATTGATCGAGCTTGGACGACCGCAAATCATTGCCCAAGGGCTGCGCAGGAGGAAGATGAGGGGAGAGTTCGGGCTTCACGTGCTGATGGTATTCTGCTCGTGGTTCGATCAAACTTCGACTACGCTCCGACTGTTCCCGAACGGTGTCACCGCGACGTGCAGGTCGTGCCCCAAATTGAACTTCTCTGCTGTCCCGACGCGGTGCTTCGGTGCTCCCTCTGCTCGCCTCCCGCCGCTACAGCCCCCTGCCCTCTCTTCCTTCCGCTCCCCCTGCCGTGCCCCGTCAACACGCACGCGCTGGTTATCGTAGTTTTGTCCTTCCATGGTCCCCTTGGGATCCCTCCCAAGAACACCACCTGCGTATGTCGCTACACTCCCACTTCCCTGTCTGGCCTCGGGTGTGATCTGCTTCTTGGTCATGATTGTGTCCAGGATCTCGCCCTTGCTGCCCTTGACGAAATCGAGCCACAGGGCCTCGAAGCGGAGGATCTCCTGGGTGGTGGTGCTTGTGGTACGTACTGGTGGTGGCTTGGCTGAAGAAAGAAAGGATAATTGAAAGGATCCCGAGAAAAGGTAAAGGGATAGAAAAGCCTGGGAGCAGTGAACGAATGTAGGTGGAGAAGCGATCGTTCCTTGTACATAGGTGTAGGGATCCTGACGCGCGCAGAGGTACTGCATGTGCGGAAGCAGTGGCTCGTCACAGTCTTGCTCAACATCGCTGTGGTCGCTGCTTGTGCGCAATTGAATCTCCCTGTCACGGCGGTGCGCCGTGTCGCAATCAGGTAGACATAGCGAGATCAAGCGGCAAGCTGCCCATATTTGGGCGACAGGTACAGCCTTGGGCAAGAGCTGGCGGAACTCTGCGGATCGACTTGTTGCTTGCATGGGTCTGATGCTATGGCACAGGTTGGAGGTTTTGCCACCATCTGCTCAGACGTAACAGTGTTGTCCAGAGATTTGCCTATGCCACTTCGCATGCATGCATCCGAATTTGGGACCTGGAGTGGAGCAGCAGAGCCGCGGCAATGACAATGACGAGAAACGAACGAACCACTCTCCACGCCTGCGACAGAGCACTGCCTTTACGAGGCAATTCGCAGCATGCATGCATAAACCAAGGCTGGCATCTGTGGCCGCCCCGTAATCCTACACCTAAAACATGATGCACATGTGCAAGATGCTGCTGTGCGAACTCAATGTGCACTCAGCCGCGACCGCGGCTGTGAATTCTCGACAGTCTTTGGTATCTCCGTTTCAACAAACACTTTTCGGTACCTCGCATATTCAAAGCACGTGCAAGGTGGAACGCCTCCTTGCCATCATCGAGGGTTGATTGGGAGGGGGGAGTAACATGAGTAGATTCATGGAGACGCTCTACCTGCCTTCTAGCGGTGAAACACGGAGGCAAGTTGATCCTACAGCGGGCCGACATGAGACTGCCGTTCTGGAGGGGTGAAAATAACAGCCAACGCCCCCCCAGTCTTGCGAGCCAGTCGGGCCACGTCCTTGCTCAAGGTTCTTGCTTGATCCGCGAAGGCTCCATTAGAACTCCAGACCCCCACCCCGAACGCAACAATCATTCAAACTGGGCTGAACTGCACCCACATATCCGAACGACCTTGACGTCTCCCCGGACAGATCGCCGACCCCTTGCGACTCCTCGGCGTGTGAGATAACTGCCCCAAATCCTTCCCCGGGGGGATATGGCCGATTTGGACTGCGGGTGGGCGAAAGCTGGCGCACTCGTCTGGCCGGGAAAAGGTCCCGAGCGCACTCAAATCATCCCAGTCCAAGACTTCCCAATATGGCCCCGAGACTGCCCAAGATGGTTTCAAGAGGGCTCAAGAGACAACGAAGAAGGCACAAACCACCCTAAGGGGGCCCCCAGAGCCTCAGAGGCCAGAATCGCAGATTCGCACTTTCTTCTTTTTCAGATTTCCTAATCAAAAATCTTTCCGAACGTCAGGGCGCTCGAAACAGCCCCAGGCCGTAAATGTCACCCCAAAGCGGCCAAAGACGTCTCACCGTGGGCAGGACCATAGCCCAGGAACATATGTTGCTGGACGCCCTGGGACGCTTCCAATCCACAGTCGGACAAATCCCAAGGGCTCCAAGGGGTCGGCGGTGCGGCGGAAGCCTTGCAATCATCACAGGAAAGGTGAAATCCACGAGGGTATGGCTACGGATGCCATTTGCTGGCAGTGGCAGGGGACGTCACCGGTCAGAACCTGGATAAACAACGTTGTCCTGGGCAAACCGACTCTGGAGCGGAACGATAGAAGAGCGACAACACGGGATCCGACTACAAGCAATTTGCCCATCAACGCTGGCACCTCGTTTGCGAAACCGATGGATTGATTCGACCTGTAGTGCACCTGTGTTTTCTAGTGCTCTACATCTTCGCCTGGACATTACAGCCGTCCTTTGCACAGCACTTCGGAGCTTGAGGGGCCGTGGAGATATCTATAGCGCAGCAGCTGCCGAAGCCAAAGCCCCAGGGCAATTCGGGCCGCCGAGCACTGTCACGGAGGGGGGTTCGGCGGCAATTGCTCTCCCCTCCTTCGTTGCCACCTTGTCGAGGTACCCGCGGGTGCCCGACCACAACGACGTGATGATCTCTGCCGTAGTCATCGGCACGAACTGCGGGCAGGCGAAGCAGACCGCAGAACAACATAATCATACACACATGTGTATACATACACACAAACATGTGTATGTATATACATAGATATATACATTTGCATGTATTATACATGTACACAGTATTGGCGCTTCGCGTCATGCACGTTGGTCCTTCACTCTCGGACTGCGGGCGAAACGATATACAAGCAACTGCATTCAAATATCAATACGTCCTTGTTGCATATTTCGTCGTTACTGTTCTAGTTTGTGTTCGTTGTTAGTACCTCGAGCTCCCTCTTTCTCTTCCTCGTTCTCGTCTTGCCCTGCAAATGTGTCATGTTCTCTTCATGTGTTCTCGTCTCTCCTGTGTTGGCTTCTCGTTTGGAGTGGAGCACTGCGGTCGCGATTCCTCCTCCTCCCCATCCTCCTCCTGTCCTCTTGCTGCCTCCACCCTCCTTCTGCGTCGTCCTGCGATACTCCCTGGTGGCTACGAACTGCGCATCTGTCACCACTTTCGTAGGTTCCTGGAAGGTCCCGCGGAGTCGGGGGGGAGCACGCGTACCTATTTGAGACCTCGCTGCTCCCTGGGTGGCTGCGACCTGCGTCGTCGCCACGTTCGTGGGCTGCTATGAGGTCCAGCGGGGTCGGGGGCCACACGTACCCATTTGAATCCTCGCTGTTCCCTGGGAGGCGGTGGACTGCGAAACTGTCACCACTGTCGTGGGTTCCTGGGAGGTCCAGCGGGGTCGGGGGCCACGCGTACCCATTTGAGACATCGCTGCTCCATGGGAGGCTGCGAATTGCACCTGTCATCACTTTCGTGGGCTCTTGGGAGGCACAGCGGGGTCGGGGGCCACGCGTACCCATCTGAGACCTCGCGGCTTCTCGGGTGGCTGCAAACTGTGCAACTGTCACCACTGTCGTGGCCTCCTGGGAGGCACAGCGGGGTGGGTGGCTGCCAACTGCGCAAGTGTCACCACTTTCGTGGGCTCCTGGGAGGTCCAGCGGGGTCAGGGGCCACGCGCACCCATTTGAGACCTCGCTGCCCCCCTGGGAGGTCTAGCGGGGTGGAGTTGTACGTGAACCCAGCCGAGACCTCGCTCCTCCCTGGGTGGCTACGAGCTGCGCAACCCTCATCACTTTCGTGGGCTCCTGGGGCTCCTGGCAGGCACCCACGCACACGGTTTCCTGGGTGCCTGCGAAGTGCGCAGCTGTCGCAACTGTTGCCGCTGTCGTGGGATCCTGGGACTTCCGGCGGAGTCGGGGGTCACGTTGACCCAATCGAGACCTCGCTGATACTTTCCTGGGCAAGAGTGCTGCGCAACTCACAATGTTTTCTCTGGTAAGGAACACTTGTTTGATAGTCGCCGGACATGGAAAAAGGCGTGGGTACGTCTCGGGAAACTTCCCTACCCTCCTGTGTCTTGGATTCTCGCTCCTCCTCCTGGAAAATGCAACACCGCGTATCGGTGAATTGTCAATGTTACCTTCCTGTGCATGTATTTTTGAACATCCGCAAGCATGCGGGTGATGGCACATGAACGCATTGCATGGAATCGCATGCAAGCTGACCTACGCACGTGCATATGAACACATGGACAACGTAACAACCCAAACACCAGCTGGATCGCATCTTTTGTTTGGTGGTTCCTCTCTCCCACGCATAGCCATGCGCGGCCCAATTCACACTACCTCAGGTTCAGGAATGCACACTACTTGATCGCATGTAGTCGCACATGCTGACAATGCCTTCGCATCATGCCCGAAACCATACAACCACCCACACGCACACACACACACACGATCGCGGCATTCTCTGGTTATCGAGCGAACCCGCATAATCGATTCCAAAGATTGCGAATTCGATCAAACCTCAGAACGATACACAACAATCGTGCCATGCTAAACTGCGTACACTACGGAATCTGCGTACAAGAACATGCAATGCGAAGCATATAATACACTGCGGCAGAGGGGGTCTCGGGCTTTCAAGGTATTGAGGGTCGCGATCCTGCGCCCTGCCTGGGCCAACGGCAGCGGGCGCACATGTCGAACACCAAGACGGCAAGGATGCCACCCTGAAAATGCCAGGCGATCCGCAGCCCGTGGTGTCCTCCTCCTCCTCCTCCTCATCATCATCATCCTCCTCCTGCTCCTCCTCCTCCTCCTCCTCCTCCTCCTCCACCCCCCTGCTCATGCTGTTGTCCCTGCTGCTGCTCCTGTTCCTCATGTTCCTCCTCCTGCTCCTCCTCCTCCTCCGCCTGTTCGTCTCCTGTAGCTCCTCCTCCTGTTGCTGCTGCTGTGGCAACGCTTGCGGTCACGTCCGCTGCTGCTGCTGCTCCTGTTTCCCCTGCTCCTCATCCTCCTCCTGTTCCTCTCCTTGTTCTCCTGCTGCTGTTGATGCTGCTGCTGCTGCTGCTCCTCCGTCCTCCTCCTGCCTCCTCCTCCTCCTCCTCCTCCCTCCTCCTCCTTCTCCTCCTTCCTCCTCCTCCCCTCTTCTTCCCTCCTCCCCCCTTCCTCTCTCCTTCTCCTCCCCCTCGTCCTCCTGCTTCTGCACTCGTTGTCATCCTCCTCATCTCCTCCTCTTCGTCCTCCTCCTCTTCATCCATCTCCTCTTCCTCCTCCCTCCTCCTCCTCCTCCTCCTCCTCCCTCCCTCCCTCCCTCCCTCCCTCTCCTCCTCCTGCCCCCTCATCGATCCTCGATCACTCCCTGGACCTCCCGAAGATACGGTATGATTATTTGAGGGTAGTGCAGCCGCTGCGACGAGATGTCTCCCGGAAGCGCAACAACAAAACGAAACACGCCCAAACACCTCGAACCTCGACCCCTCAACGCCGTGCCTCTTCCGACCCACCCCCCCAGCAGGTGCTGCCTGCTTCTGCTTCAGGAGTTCGGTGAGGATGCCGCCGCGCAGCAGCTGGTGCTGGGTGGACCTGGACTGTGGGTGGTTTCGGCGGGCCCTCTAGGACTGCGAGCTCGGCCCGAGGGAGGCCGAGGATCTCGGAGCTGCCATGCGGAGGAAGGGAAGGATCTGGACTTTCAGAGGCTCGAGAATAGCGGGTCCACCGTTTTTTGAGCAGCTGGAGGCCGCGTCTGGGCTCTGGGACGGTCGACAGAACGGCGGCCCAGGACGAGAAGCTGGTCCCAGGGCAGGGGTCGAGAGGTCGGGGGCCCGAGACGCGAACATATCAAGCCATCGGGGGGGGGGGGGGGCGGAGGGAGTGAGGCGGAGACGGGGGGGGGAGAGATGGAGCGACAGAGGGAGCGAGGGAGGGAGGGAAGAAGGCCGAGGAGGCGGGGGAGGAGGGAGGGGGAAAAAAGAACTTCCACAGGAACGGCACTCTCCGCCACTACTTCTCCCCTGCCGCCAGGAAGCTTTCCATGCGGCCCCCGAGGCCCCCGACACGATCCAACAAGACATCCGCGCCGGCCCAAGAGGCCACCAAGATGCCTCTAAGATTAGACCGGGCATGTCCTCCCACAGACGAATAGTGGAAGAAACATTGTAAATAATCAAACAGAGTCAAAGATGATGCAACATAATAGAAACATCTTCCCCAGACTATCATTTCTTGTGTGTAGCAAATTTGGAGCATCCCTCCTGTAGAAGGACGCGCCCGACTTAACCCCAAGACTGTCCCAGAGGCCCCCATGAGCAGGCCCCCAGAGCCTCCCACGAGCAACACTTTGCACAGCTTGCTGCCTTCCCCTCTGCTGGAGGGCGGCCAGCGCTCGACGTGGCGGCCAAAGGGCTGGGGGTTTCGCGCGTCAGGCAGTGCGGGCGTGGTGGCCCAGTGGCAGTGCGCCCAGCGCGGGCCGCGGCGCGGGTGACCGCGGCAGGGATGCTTCTGTCCCTCCTGGGCCGCCGATCTGGGGGGCTGTCTTACAAGCGGATTTTTGAAGAAACATTACAAATAATCAAACATATTCAAAACAAGTCAAAACAAGCAGACAAAGTCGTCACCATTTTTGGGGGACTCTTTTTGAATATTCCCCCGCTAGAGGGACATGCCCGACTTAACACTAAGGAAAGAATCGAGCCCAACCCAAGCCTTCCAGATTGGGCTCGGCTCCAAGTCATCCTCGGAGCTGAGCCGTCCATCCAAGACGCCTTCCGTGCGCTCGGTGGACCGCTGGTAGCATGGGGGCAGCGGGTCCTAAGGGAACGGGTCCTGGACCCTGGGTCCCGCTGGTAGCATGGGAACTCGTTCGGGCCTTCTCCTTCTCACTTCCCCCCCTCGCTCGCCGCTGAAGGACAGAACAGCCTGGGTATGCCCAGGCTTCCCCCAAGTCAACCGCATATTTCTCACCCCCCCGGGCGCCTGGGTAGCTTTCCACTGCCCCCTCTGAAACTACAACGTCCCCTGCTGATCATTTCCGACCGTCATCCCACCCTGCGCTGCCTGGCCTCCGATTCTGCCAACGCCGGGCGTAGCCGTGGACCGCTGGAGGGCGCGACGGGCGGGGGCAAAGAACTCAGGCAACACCTGCCGTATAGTCCTTCTCGTTGGCTGCTCATGCTGTTCTTGCCCTCGAAAGTCGCGCCTGCATGTTGGTCGAGCGAGGGCTGCGTCTTCCGCCCAGCTCTCCATGGGCGTCGTTCGCGCAAATGCTCGCCTGCGGGCCGCTGATATACCTTGCCGTGAAGTTCCTGACCTGAGCTTGTCGACCCGTGACGTCATTACTTATACCTCCCCTCGCCAGCTGGATCCCGTCGAGTTCCAATCCGCGTGCTCCGCGTGCTCCTTCTTCGCCGTCTGCACACGCAAGCTAGGAAGCGCTGATGCCTCCGTTATAGCGTAAGCAGCTTCGGCCCCCGAACAGGCCGTCCGTCCACGAGGGGCATTCCTTGCCCCGGGGGCCACGTCCTGGGGGTG